TTAAAAGAATTTGCACATAACTTTTAATTTTGGTCTATTTCTTAATGCACAATTTAAATACCAAATGTTGCAATTAGTTACTCAGTAGTTTAGTAGCCTTTTTTACCAGATACTTTTTCAGTTTTGCCTGAGCAAATTCAAATGGCTGCTTTTTTACTCATGTAGAAATATGATGAGGAAGAGTTACTTTTATTTAGGTACAATGTCTAGGTACTCTACCCATCTTTGAAATGCTACTGTACACTGTACAAGGTGAATAAAACAGAAGCCTCCATCTTAGATTAATTAACCTGATGTAAACAATACCTGACTTGATGGCTGTGAGTCCACATTTTAGTTTTTTTTTTTGTTTTTTTCCCCCAAAAGAAGCAGAGAACAGCAAACATGTCACACTTCATGATTGCAACAGCAAATTTATCTAAACAATAACAAGCACTGTGTAGTCAGTATTGAATAAAAAGGTTGTATCTGATATACAGGCTTCTATGAATGGCATTCTGAAATTAAGTTTAAGAGCTGCATAATGGTGTCACTATACAACAAGAGGATGGTATTTAGTGGCATTTAAACAACAAACCTCAATATAGATGCAATGATTTTTCTCCCTCAATGATGGAAGACCAATTGTGTGTGTGTATGTGTGTAAGGGGGGTGTATGTATTTGTGTTGCATGTATGTGTGTAGAAAAATCCATTCTTATCAAATCCAAATACCAGGGTCGACTGAAAAGCAGCAACTGACGGGAGTACCACTTAACATTTAACACAATAATACCTCACCTCCCTGCCAACATGCTGCTGAAACACCGACTCTCACATAATCCAGTTATACAGATTAAATAACAGACATCCATAAAGAGCATTTTGACACCATCCAGCTCTATGTGAACAAAACAGCTTGTCTCCGAATTCAAAATAAAAATTACATCTTAGTAAGGAAGGAGGTTACATAGATAGAAAAATAGATGAGTGAATAAATAGAAGAAATAAGTAAAGAGATAAAAATTTAAAAAAAGTCATCAATTGAATGTACAAGTAATCAAATGGTAATGTGATGAACAAGTCATTATGTAATAATGTAATTAAGCCTGTATGTACACATCGGATTAAGTGTTAAAGTAAATATTAAAATCAAATGACGAGATATGTATCATGCTCTGCCATTCTGGATTTTCTGGCTTTGTGTAAGTTTTAATTTTGGGTTCTCACTTATGCTTTATTTTATGTTATTCTGTATTGTTAGGATTTTTTTATCATTTTTGAATTCTTAGTTTTACTCTTCCATGTTATTCTTTTTCAGCCTTTTCTCAATTATATATTCCTTGTTCTAGTTTTAGTTAGATTTTCTTTCACTTATCCTTAGGGTATGTTTTCAATGGCTTCAGTTATCTCCAGTCCATTCTCTTATGCTATAGTTTTCCACTTGCTTGTTCCTTATTTTGTAGTCATTAGTTTTATTCCCCTTTAGCCTTATTTAAGTTCTTTTCAGTTACAGTTACTTTAAACCCTGTTTTCTGTGGTTACTCTTTGTTGCACCCTAGTTCCCCTTTCCCTTAGCTCCTTTCTAGCATCTTCTATCCATACCTGCTCCCAATGATTAACTGATTACTCCACTCTTGGTTCTGTTTTCCAACATATAGGCTAACTCCTCCTCTACAGTTCCTCAATGCTGGATTCTCTTTATTGCTTTGCTCCTTGTGTGTTCCTTCCTGGTGTCCAATGGTTTGGGTTTCTTGTTTTTTTGTTCCTGGATTTGTGCTTCTGTTGCTGTCTGCATTCAAATTAAACCTGCAAGAACTCATCTCTGCCTCCTCATCCCTGCATTTGGGTCCTCAACTAATTTCATCAAACCTGACAATATGTGTGAAGATAGGTAAATCATAAAATAAATATTGATGGGTAGGTTAGTGGTGGTGGCCTATTGGTTAGGGCATTGAGCTTGGATCCCAGAGGTTCTGAGTTCAAGCCCCACTCCCACAGTCTGCCACTCTGGCTCCCTAAGCAAGACCCTCAACCCCACAATGCTCACAGGGCACTGCACAATGGCAGCCAACTGCTGTGATTAAAAAAACATTCCAAAGTTCTCTATTTCTCAGGAAAGAGTTGTCTTACGTATTCCCTGCTCTGGCAATTTTAGACACAGACAGCACTTGGTTGTGATTAGAAAATAATAGTAACCACAAAAGTAATGATCAGCTCTTATTTTCTGTGAATAACTTAATTTCAAAAAATATTTAAAAAGCTGTGATGTCATCACACTTATTGTCAATATCATCAAGTTAGGGGAAAAGGACCTTTAATTTTGATCGTAATCATTATAAAATCTTACTTTACCCTGCAACTATCCTACAATTTCTAAAATCATGCGTGTGTTCTGCAGTTGAATGAGACCAGTCTTTTTATGCTACAAATGTCCGATAAATGCTCCATAAAGGTCAAGATCAAATCTTTTGGAGTAAGATATTCTTGAAAAATAATTCAGTGTTTGGGATGTTTGACCATTGTGTAAGAGAAGAGTATTGGTGTAGAATAAGATATTAACATCAGAAAGTGGTGAAACATATTGGTAGAACTGTTATTGAATGGCTTTTGCAGCATAAAATCAGAAACATGTAAGTTTCATGCATGTTTTAAATCATACATTTTTATTGTGTAACAACAGTAGAATGTCTGTTTGCTTCCAGTAATACTATGTTCACAAATACTAGTCAGCCACATAATTAGGTCGTCTTCCAAAATTGCTTGGTTGTGCAAAAGACAATTACATTGCAGAAACTCAAACTCAACTAGAGATAATGAATATCACATTTTGAATTTCAAACTGAACATAAAAATGTGTAACATTTTGGGATTTAGGTGACTTTGAGCATAGATATGGTTCCAAACTGGTTGAATGGATAATATGGGTGTGTCAAATTCAAGTGCCTGAGGGGCAGTATACTGCAATCTTTAGATGTTTGAGAACCTAATCCAAGACACCTGAATCAAATGAATCAATTACCCCATCAGCAAACTGTTAACTTCTTTCATTTTTTTTCTGATTACCTAATAGATCAAGCTGCTTTGAAGAATAGACAAACAATGTCTAAAAGGTACAGTACACCGGCCTTGGAGAACCGGATTTTTACATCCCTTTTACAGCTACAAGGTGAGTGTGATAGAAAAGTTTAATTTGTTCAAGTAACCCCTCAGTGTTGCTACTGTATAATAGATAATATATCTACTGTAAATGTACAAATTAACAAAACTTAAAGAAGATAAGCCACAACAGCAAAATACCACATTTTGAGCTCAGAACAGGAACAATTCACGGCTGTGCAAAATTTGACAATAACAGATTGGAAAAATGCTGTATATTCCAATGGGTGTGGATTTCAGCCAGATGAAAGCATGGATCCATCCTTCTTTTCCCCAGGATGTTGGGGGGTGTCATTTTGAGAGGCTTTACTTTCTGGCACTTTTAAGGCTCCTCACTAAGAATCAGCACACCTTAAACTCCACAAGATACCAAAAGTAATGCTGCTCATCATGACTATTACTGTAAAACCACAGTGTACCCATTTTCCAGCAAGATAATTCACTTTGTCACAAGGCTCACAAAATCTCTAACCAGTTTATTGAACATTAGAATCAGTTCACTGTATTGTGATGTGAAGGCTAAAATGCTGCAACTCCTTACTAGCAAGGTGTACCTAATAATGTACCCAGTGAATGTAAAAAAATGTTTTTATTATCAACATACAATCCTCTTACCTTAGCATGACATTCTTTCCATCATTTCTTGCACAGCGTACATGTCGTGTCTGATATCCCACTTCCAAGTCCCATGACATGGGGTACCTTAAATGCACATGAGCATTGTGGTGGTGGTACCGGTGATGATTAAACTGGTTGTTAGAATCCAATGTATGTAGCATAATTGAGTTGTTGTCATTGGAGCTAGCACCAAAGTCCACTGTTGTCCTTCCATTTAAGAAGGCATCCTTGTTATGCGGTAGTTGACACTTACTCCATGCCCCAACTTTAAGACTGTACTGGTACTCACCTTCTGCAAGAGGGCAGTCAACAGAGTTAGTACAAGTCCTTCTCTCAGTTAGATTAGGGCAGTTAGCTCCTCCATACATTGGTGCGGCAAGGACGTCTCTAGTTCGATGCTGAAGACCAGCACCACAGGTTTTACTGCAACTTGACCACGAATTAAAGTCTGAAACTACACAGTCCTGAGGACAAGGGATGAGGCATGCTTGCTCCACAGGAGGTTTCTGTGAAAAGAACTCACATATCCTTATGCTGACAGTACTTCGATTGGAAGTTCGAACACAGTGGATATTGCGCCTCTGAATGCCATGCTGGGCTGTAATACACTCAGTGGTCCTCAATTTGAGTTCATTGGAAAAGAAAGAAACAAGAACACAGTCCCCCCAGTCAGAAATTTCCCATTCAAAGAGATCCTGGTGCCAGTTGCAGATCTTAAAACATTGCCGTTTACTTTCCGGCTTTTCCACATGCTGGCAGTGAGAGTGATGGGTGGTCCAGCCCTCTATGTGGACACACCATATCGTCCTTGTCTGGACTCCACTGGAACCACACACCTCCCCGATACACTGACCCCACGAGCCTACAACAAAAGAAAGCACATAGAGTGGTCATTTTCATTAAAATCCTGTGCTTTACATGGAAAAAAGGCCACATTTTAAATAGCAGCTATCTGGAGACTTGCAATCAAGTCCAATTCAAGGCCATTCACTTAACCTCTATGATTGCTTTATTCATGAACTGAGGAAGAATGGAACAAAGGAACACAAAGTAATCAAACCAGTGACAAACATCAATGGAAAATACAAGGTCACTTTCTTAGTCACAAGGACGGGATCAATATTTAAGGTAATCAACACTCCCAGGCCCATTATATATAGCTTAAGGAATATTAGCATTTATTTGCACACTAGAACATCTCAACATATTTACAGATTTGTAAGATATATTTTTAAAATAATACAATGAAAGCATAAATATCTTGATCATGCATTAATATTAAATTAAATTAAACAAACAATTACACACAGAACATGAACATTACACAGAAGTGTGATCATACTTAGGGAATTCTTTTTAATATGGTTTAGTCGTTTCTGAAGCATAACATTGTAATAGTTATAGAAATATTCCTTCCCCCTCTGATTTTTTTTTTTGTTTGTTTTGTTTTTACATTCTGTTGTTTTTACACCACAAAGGTTATTGGATGTTGTTTAAATTTTATGGTCTAGCCTAAGATAAATAGGTACACGGTTGTCAAGGGGAAGCATTATAATAAATGTTTTGCAATTTCTTTTACAAATGCAGATCTAAAAAGTATGACAGAGATGTAAAGTCAGTATCCATATATCAAAACTCTTAATTTTCAGAAGTTTTTCCAGCACATTCCTTTATTTAGCTCTGTCAATGATCCTCTCATTTATGAATACCTTCCTAGATCCTGTTTATTAGAAAAGTAAAGTCACAACTATCTTCCAGCAGGGACTGGTGTCTATTAGATGATGAACAGAGTAGGTTTTGTGGCTGACACACCCCTTTACTTGTGAACCTAAAATGTACAATTTGGTCCCTTCTAACCACAATTATCTTTTAATTATTATTAGATTATCTTTTTTATTTAAAAGTCTTAGCTTTTTGATTGTGATATGTATTTTCAGAGAAAAAAATAAGGTATTATTGTTGGAAAATACATTGCCAGCTAAAAGAAAAATTTAATTCATCCAACTAGATGATATGGTTTAACAAATCTATTCTATAATGGCACTGGTGTTAGCATTGTAGGTAACTAAATGTTATGAAAAGCACCGGAGACCATGGTTTACAAGAATCTGCAGAGGCCACAGGGTAGGTTGACACACCACACTGTGATCTCAGGCAAATGATATTTAATGCAGCTTTCTGCATTTTTCAAATTCTTAAATTTTTACCATACACATAAGCCCCATGGGTAGAGTGAGGATCATTTTGAGTAAAATCAGTCATGCAGGCTAAGATCAATATTGTTTTTGCCAACTTAAAATAAAAACAAAGAAACTTTTTGTTCATGAGATGTGTAGTTTGTTATTTAAGAGTCCTGATCTTGCCAGGGTGAGGGTCCTGCTCTTGAAAAAATATTATATGTAACACCTTTCACACATAACTTTTGTTCACATTAAAACACTCGCATTTTACAGAATGAAATGTGTGATCAAGCTTGTGATACAGTATAAATTATTGTAATTCTTTATCTCTCCATTGTTTGTTTGTTTTTGCATTTCTACTAATATAAATTATATACGGTAACAGTTTTTTCTCATATTGTCATTGTTGCTTTTAAGCTGTAAAACAAATGATACACAGATTCAAGATGATAATCATTGGTCAAAGTGATTTACAGTTTATGTTGGATTTTATTTTATGCACCTCACAGGTTTTCTTGTGCTCTGAAAACGTGAACAGCAGTATGCAAATGTGCAAGCCCAGCTTACAGGGAGCATTGACAACATAATAGATATACAGTATATAAATCATCTTCAAACACTCTAATATATCTATAAATGCATGTAGACATTGCAATTACAATCACAAAAGTTTTATGATCCATGATTTTTACAAATATACTCTTTAGGTACAATATTATAACAACCTAACTAATGTTGTGTAGCTCCACTTTTTTCAAGCTAAAAAAGTTCCTATTAGTAAAGTCACAGACACAGATGTGTTGCAAAGGTAAACAACCACTAATTAGGAGAACAATTGGGAAGAAATAATGAATAAAAAAGCTGTTTTTTGGCAAATTACATGACAGCCCTTTGTTTGTCCTTGTAAATATGCCTGCGTATGTGAGAAAAATAAGGTTCCCCATTGTTTCATAGTTGGAGGGCAATGTTCAGCTTCCAACTTATTTGAAAGGATTTAATCAAGTCTGAATGCAACTGCAAAAAAAACTTTTGTTTTCATAAGACCGTATATAACTTTGCTGTCCAAGGAAGTTATCAAGCATTAATGAACTGCATAGTTTCAAACCACTGAAAAGTGGGGACTCTCTTAAGCTACTGGTTTTTCGGTTGCTAAATTAAGGGAGTTTGCTTTTCCTCATTGTCATGAAAGCTACCAACCTTCACTTATTCTCTTCAAAATCATTGACAGTTTAACCTGCATGTTGCACAATTCAAAAACTGCTGTATTCTCAGTTTAAACTGCATGCTAAAAAACGTGTAATTGAAGTAAAATTCACACACAGTGCCTTTCCAACTCACCATGGAGACTTTATAGTTAGGTATTTCCCATCAAATTTGGCTTATGATGTGGTTGTGGTAAAACACTGCTGGCATGCCAGTTGCTACTCCTAAGCATCAGCTTTTTCGTGACTAGGGTCCACTTGTTTCATTTTTAAAATGTGCTATATAGAGGAAAACAAAATGTGGGCAGGGAGAAAACTGCTGATATCGTTTCCAGAAAGACTTCTCTCAGCTTTGAACTGGATCTTGGATTGTGCCTCTTGCACAACTTTAAGCTGACCACAGACTTTGACAGCATGTGGAAACTGTTGAATATTTTACAGCTATATGCAAGCCAAGTTATGAAAGACAATTCTGAATAGAAACAGGTGAATTTCTAATGTACAATCTCAGCAAGAGGTTTTGGTTGTTTTAAATAAGGGTAAAACTTTACACCAACTGTCAAAGATGCACAACTTGGATAATTCTTCCAGTTTATTCTATTTCAATAATTAACAGAAATCAATACATGATCACATTTGCAAGACATCTTAAAAACCTATAGTAATTTTTCTAACAATGAGTTTACTTGTAGACGTGCCATTAGATTAATAGTTAAGAATATGGATGATTTTTTTCCTTCATAATAGAAATATGGTAAGTTTTTCATATTGAATGCTGATTTACATTAGTATAAATAAAAAATGTTGAACTGTTTAATATAGCTGATGAATTAACATATATATTACATCTGACCTTTTGTTCTTGTCCTTAAAAGAGCCTGACCAATATTTAAGAGAAATAAGATCAATTTCCTGGTGTAATGTACTTTTATATGTCACTTATGTTCATTTTTCAACCACTTATTTGCACCATGCTGTGAAAAAGATAATGTGATTCATTTCTTTTAATTGGAAATAAATTGCTGCAATAATGAGATACCACTGCCTTGTAAATTGGTTTTGAATGACAACACGATGAAACTGTTCAGTGAGTTTTCTGTAGCAGAGAAATCTGCAGTTAACACTTTGTTTCAGGGCTCTAAACTAACATGACAAGCTTGATGCTTAGAAATCCAACAGAGCTGAATCTTTGCACAAGTTAATTAGTAGCTTACAGCTGAAATTTGTTTCTCCTGGCTTTGCAACATTAAGGAGACCAACCCAACAACTTTAATTCAGTACTGTTACAAAATTCACAGTGACAATTGCAGGCTGTTTCTTTTAAATGTAACGTCTAGGCTCCAAATTCACACTGCTTTTTGAATGGCTACTTTTGTTCATGCTAGCGTCTTGCATGCTAAAACAATCATCAGTCAGTCAACAAAACTCCAGCAACATAGCAAATAAGTAAAGATAACCTGCTTAAAGTCTAAATCAGTGTCAAAATTGGCAAGAAAGATCAATTAATTCACTTTGAACTTTGTATAATTTTTAATATAAGAGTTTACCTACTGTAAGTATACAGTTGTTGACGATATAAATGGTTTCATTGTTACAGTGTGCCACACTGATGGCTTTGTCTGCAGAACAATGCGCCATGCCACAAAGCTAAAATCATATCAAACTGGTTTCTAAAATTACAATGACATTGCTGCATTGCAACAGCATTGACAATCACTAGATTTTAATTCGATAGAGCACCTTTAACATGTGGTCAAACGGATGTTTTACATATGTGGTGCTTACAGCTCTATAGCAAACTTGTGAAAATTATTATTTAAAATGACCAAGGAATACTTTCAGTTTGTTGAATTTAATCCACAGAGGATTAAAACCTTTATGAACACAAAAGAGTCTCCTATCAAATTCAGGTTAAGAAAGTTGGCTATTGGTACGTTTTAATCAAAATAAAATAGTATTATCATTCAGTATTTTTACTTGAAATCATATTAATTTCAGCTCTTTACCATTGTTGAGTTACCAATAGGGTTATCCCTCCCACCCACGTGTTTGTACATTTCTAGAGAGCTTACAAGTTGTGTTTCTATCCAAATGTCATATGAAAGTTGAGCAAATTTTTAAATTGTTAAAAAAAATAAATTGCAAATAGGATGTGTTTCCATCCATTGGAGTGAGTTACTGTTCAATATAAATTGTAATTTCACCAAATTATGTTACGTTTGGTTGTATGAACAGGAAATGGGGGTTGTAAACCACCGTGGACAACAGATCAGTTATGGACAGAGATTTAATTAATGTGTTGCAATTAGGGACGTTCTACTTACTTTGTCATGTCAGCTAGTATTAGTGATGCAAATTCAAATGAGAAGCTACCAGCGGAAACATCTGGTCAATAATGTAAGGAAATTACTCATTACATCAGAATGCATTCAACAACTATGTTTCCATTTCCTCTTATATGCATTAACTTTTATCAATAC